TATGTCAGGCAAAATGACAAAAAATTATTCGAAAGTCAAAAGTTCCAATTCATTCAATCTAGGTCATTTCTATGTAGTTGTGTCTAAAGTAGCTATAAGCTCTGATATTTATCAGTGTTTCTTTGCTGCCCTGGAGTCAAGATGGTGAACGAACACTCACCGACTCTTAACGAAATGAAATGTTTATTGTTCATACATAATATACAAATGTTATTTATAACAAGTAAAAGTTACCTAGTGCCATACTAATTTTCAGCAACCATTATAACTTTGGAAATACGTATTTTTAGTTTTTTATGCTTTGAATTTTTGCTTAACTAGACCTTTGTGTTAACCCTCAAACTTTTAAAATTTAAAAATCTTGTTCACTCACAAAGTAATAATCTTTTTACTGGATAACAGTCAGCAGAGACCTTATATTGTTGTAAGAAAAGCAAATATATCATCACCTGTTATTTCAGGACACTGGAATTGAGCCAAATAATTGAATTGTTAAAAATATTTCTTCCATCTTGATTACATTTTGAAAACCAACTCCTTAAACAGATCAGGTTTGTGTTCTTACAGTAAATGCATTCACAGTCCCAAATAGAGTGTCAGTTTCAGACATTGACATTGTGTCTTAGATATTTATTGTACTTCGTCACAGTACTTTGGACAGACGCATGCTTGCAGACGTGAATCACATGATGGCTTGTAAGAAAAGGGAGTTTCTCTTGGTGATAAACACTCAGGAAATTATTATCTGCCCCTGCAGTTCCTCCTCAGCTGTGCAAGAAGGGAACCAACATGTTTTCTTTTTCCATCTCACCAGTATACTACACTACTGCTTTCCTGTTACTGGCTTAATTCTAATGATTGGAATTGTATTTATTTACTTGCTTAATTCACACTGTCTTTGCACTCGGATGAACAGTTTGAATGTTATGTTTGCCCATAATTTACAGCTACACAGCCTAATTCAAGTCCATAAAGGCATGTCTATGGACATTTACAGCCATCCTTACAGATGCACATTTGCGGGGTCTGATGTTGATTGAGAAGGTCTGACTCATAATCTTCATTGTAATTCATCCCAAACCTGCACTATATTTTTGAGGTCAGGACTCTGTGAGGTCAGTCAAGTTCTTCCACAACAAGCAGACTCATCTGTCTCTTTATGAATCTTGCTTTGTGCACTCACGCTTCGTCATGTTGGAACAGGAAGGGTCCATCTCCAAACTGTTCACACAAGGTTGAGTGAAGAAAATAGTCTGAAATGTATGGGCATGCTGAATCATTAATGGTTCTTTTAAGTAAAACTAACATTATAACCACCTCACCATAATCCTCCCTTTACCAGACTTTGCACTTGACACATTGCATTTAGGCCAATGTGGTTCTCCTAGCAGCTGCCAACTCTAGACAAGTTCATTGGATCTGCAGACAGAGAGGCAAAATTCAACTCTCCAGAGAAAATGTTTCCACTGCTCTAGAGTCTGGTGGCAGCTAGAAATTTTGTGGTTTGACTCTGCAGAAATTGATGGTCTCTGTGTATTATATCACAGCACAGTACTTTTCTATCTGTGCAGCTTTATTATAATGCTATCATTATCTGTGGAATTCAATAATTTGTTTGTTGAAGAAAGACTTTTGGCAATGTGAAAAGTGACATACACAAAATTAGATGTAAATCTGAATGAAGCTGAAAAGTGGTTGATTTTTGTCAAACAAGATAACCAGGTCCGCTTTAATTGACCTTCAGTCGGTTTACCTAGAAAGCCTGGTTCATTTGGGGAGGTGTGAATGTGCAATAGAACTCTAATGTGGACCTAAAAAGTGAACTCCCAGCTCAGTTGAATTGAACTCTGGCGCAGTTCAAATGAATATGAGAATGGCAAGTGGACTGGAGACCACTTCAAAAGCAAGAAGTGAATTATAGCGCAGTACAGCACTAGAGAAATGACTCATGATCTTTTGTCAAAGACTGAGAAATCCTACAACTACTAAAATCTGATGCCACCCTATTTTTGTTTACATTTGGAAAGAAGGAAGTTGCTACAGTTTCTACTTCAGGGGTTTTTGTTGCGGCGCCACCACAGGCGAGGGGGTGAGCAGGTTTTGGTTTGTTTGACAGTGCAGTGTGAAAATGTGAAAATGTAACGTGTTGCACCTCTGCTCTCGAGTTGAAAAGTGAAGTTTTCAGTACTTTTTTCAGTGGGCTAAATGAAGACAAAGAAGCTTAAATATGTATAGAAAAGGCACCATTATTTGTATTGTAGTCACAGCCATGAAGTTTGATACGAAAGCAATAAGGAAGCCTGTATAATTAAATGCATGACCTAAAGAAGTTAAAGTTGTAACTTTCTGTTCTGTAGTGGTACCCTGAGGTCAGACACCACTGTCCCAACACTCCCATCATCCTGGTGGGCACCAAGCTGGATCTGAGAGATGACAAGGACACTATGGAGAAGCTGAAGGAGAAGAAACTCTCCCCCATCACTTATCCTCAAGGCTTGGCCATGGCCAAAGAGATTGGTAAAAACTTAATTGAGCTCTTTCTGACCAACTTGGATCTCATGTATTTTTCTTATATAATTCACAACAAAGGGAAGTAAATAAATTGCCGCTTTCTGTTTGCGTTCATTAGGCTCCGTCAAGTACCTGGAGTGCTCAGCCCTGACTCAGCGTGGCCTTAAAACTGTGTTCGACGAGGCCATCCGGGCCGTTCTGTGCCCCCCACCCGTCAAGAAGAAGGGCAAGAAATGCGCTCTCCTTTAAGGCCGCCTGCAGTTTGAACGGTTACAGGGGAACATGAACGCCAGCGGTGAGAGGGTGGCTAAAGACACAGGAGAAACACACCAGTATACACTCACAATCCATGTACTTCAGATTCTGTCCTTAAGTTTAGTTCAAGCAGTTTTTATGGAAATAAATCAGATCCAGATTTAGGCGAAGGGTTTGGGCGATTAACGGTCCTAATAACTCTTTACTGTATAGATAAGACTACGAACTTTTTGAGGCCTTCTAAAATCAATTGGATGTTTTCTAAAAATGGACTGCAGGTTGTCTTTAATTTCCTCTTCTACCTGTTGTCCTCTTTTTTGTTGTTGTTTACAGTCAGGTTGATTGTTGTAAGTTGAAATAATATTGCCAAATACATTCTGCACACATGCTGGTTTTTAGCCGAAAATGAGAGTCTAGATCTGTCGATTCAGATCTGTAACGTTTGCGGTTTGTTCAGCTCCTCCATCAATGGAGTTTTAACTCACAAGTTCACTTCCTCCTTAACAACAAGGAGTATGAAGTAACCTGGAGGATCTGTACAGCTTCAAATGAGTCCTTGAGTAACATAAGCTCCTTACTTACCATCAGTCTGTCAACCCTAGAATGATTAATGACGCCTAAAACAAAACGGGGAGAAGATCAGATACCAACAGTGCTGTAACTCCCTGAAAAAATGTAATAAATCCAGTATTTTCTACATTTTATCGAATTAAATTTGTCATTTTCTGTAGCTTTCCCTATATGTTTCTCAACCGAACGGCTGCCTGCGAGTGCAAAAGCTGAAAACATGATTACATATTGGAACAGAAATGTTTGGATGTCTCGGTGATGGGGGAACAAGAGCACATCTTTTAATGCTCTGTGGGCATTTACCGAATACCTTTTGTGCAACACTTTTGATTTATTTTCTTTACGCATCACTACTGGCTAAGCAATGTCACAATGAAGAGCATCTATGCCTGCTAATAACAGTAACAAAGCTACTGTCGGTTATGGTGTAGTAGACAGTGTAATCATCTTTTTTGTTATAATCGTGATTTGACTATTTTGTATCTTTCTTCAGACGTTACACACTCACTGTATTGTTTAACTAACACTATGAATATCTTTTTTTTTTTATTACCTCTACGGTTAACGCTACCTTACTCTCCCTTCAAGCCTAGCTTTTTGTAATTAATGCTGATAGCATGTCTGTGCATCATATACTGAAAACTAAGATTAGAATTGCTACAGTTATATATATTTTTTGCCTATTTACAAAATGTATTTGAACTACTAGATCAGGGGTTAAGTACATGTTGCTCATCGGTATTCAGAAATCAAGCTGTGCTTTTATCCAAGCCAATGTTGTGACTCTCTTAGTTTTGAGGATTAAAAACTATTGTCACTTTTTGAAAAAGCCAATAAATTCCTGTAAAAACGCTTCCTCTGTTGTAAACATCCATTGTTTACCACTCTTGTGCTTTAAATTAGTGTTGAGTAATTATTTGACAATATTACGTTAGAGGATCTGTCTGAATTTCTAACTTGTTTTATTTATATACCTTAAACAATTATTACCATTAACTAACATAATCCATATTTTCTTTCTAAAACTAAAATCTTCTAGAGCAAAAATGACAAATAAAATAAAATGCCTTTCAACTGGTTTTCTTTTACAAGGCAAATATGTGAGATGCTATTTATGTTTTGACTTTACACAGATTTACTACAACATTCTGATTTGCTTTTCTTGTTAAAATACAGCCAGTTTAGGGTTTTGATATTTCCAAAATGTAACAAAATATTTTACATTTTTGTGGGTGAGTACTTTCAGTTGTATAACTTTGGCCCAGCAGATTAGATTTGGACACCAAGATTCATTTTTCTTTTTTTTTTCTTTCTTTGTTTTGGAATGGGATGATTATTTAGCATTTTTAATTTTTAAAACATTGTTGTGCAAATTTTATTTTATTTTTTGACTCCTTGGCACATACTTATATTTTAGACACGTATAAATCCTCATAGTTGAGGTTGACCATGTCCACTAGGAACACTCCATCAGTTTGCCAATCAGGCCCAAACTGCCACCTTCATACAAAAGAAAATCAGATGTTCAGGAATCAGTCTGACCACAATAAATCCAATTTAATATAATCAAGGACGCAGATGATGCTGATTTTACACGTTATCAGCAGTGGGAATTATAAAATGTTGTAAAATATTTTTAAATATGTGGGCTGGACTTGAGAAACGGGCACAAAGGGAAAAGATTTTACAGCACCGACCTTTGAGACATTGGAGTTCAACCAATCTGGAGTCTATGCCTTTCCACTCGTCCTCCAGACTCTTGGACCTCGATCAAGGTAAGCTTTCTGTGGAGGTTCACAAACCTGAGACTCTTTAAAAATCTCCCCTAAACTCATAAACTCTTGCTGATTTTGAAGAACTGTTTTTTGTGACTACGACCTTATGTGGTTTACAGTGTGGAGGACGTCAGTAACTGTCAAGTCAGCTGTTTATTCACCCACATTTCTCATACTGACTGATTCTAAAGGGAAGTCATTTAACTCAAGACTTTTTAAACTGAAGGCAGTTAAAATGTCTTGATAAATACATATGCGATTGGCACCACATACCAGTTATTCAACTCTTTCAGCTTAGAATTAAACTTGAATCTCAGGGAAATGTCTGCAGTGATTATTTATTACAAGATAACCCAACATTTAACAATCTCATGTCAATAAAATGTACAATTTATTTAACCCACACAGGATTGATAATACATGTGGCACAAACTTTACATCTTAAAGTGAAAATATTATTTACTTAATGGCATCCCAGATGTTTCAGCCTTTGGATGTTTTTCATATTTCTTTTTCAGAAACTCTCCAGCTGCTCAGTAGCAGCTCAGGAATCTGCAAATCGTAACAAAGTCCCCGAAGTTGTAGGTATGCTGACGAGATGAAAGACAAACTGTTAGACAATCTGAATATACCATCGCCAAAAATAATCTCAATAACTCATAAAAGTTCAGCAGAAAAGAATAGACTGAATTTTGTATATTTACAGTTAAACCCACAGCATTATCAATTGATTGGAACGGAACTGACGAAATCATACCTTTCTACCAATTCTGCCCCAACAATGTCATGGACGTGATATTTCATAGGAAATTTCACATGTGAGGTTGTTCGTCGCTCCTCTAGATCGACTCGTAACACTTCGTTATATTTGGACTTCTTCACCATGCCAAGCACTGCTTTACGTCCTGAAAAGAAATGTTTTAGATGGTACCAAACAAACCCCTTAAGACAGAAAATGCCAAAATCTTCCAGAAATTAGATATATTTATGGCAAAGGTGCAATAATTATCCTAAAATACCAACCTTGAATAAAATACTTAGTGAATTTGCCGGAATTGGGAATGGAAAGCCACCAGCTGCCAGCATCCCTCACAGTCAGGACCCCTGACTTCACCAGCTGCCTTGGTGGTGAGAAAATAAACAATCTGACAGAATTAAATGCAGATGAAAAACTAAAATTCATTTTTTTCCAGTGTTGAGAATCTTAGACAACATTCAGAGTTCCCCATACGTTATCTCAGAGTCTGTGAAGAGAAACTCTCTCAGCATCTTGTCTTTGCTGAAGCTCAGATCTGTGCAGGAGGACACCACTTTCTCCAGGAACCTTTCAACAGTTGCTCGTGTTGCTTTCCCCTCTTCGCCAGCCAGTACTTTGGTCTTGTAGTCTGACGCAAACACCAGCCCGAATGCTTCCGAGTCAAACCCGAGCTGGAACATCAGCAGCTCCCCACTCTCCTGGAGTTTATTCTGCTCCGACAAAAGCACGGCAGTCAGAACTTCAAAAATAGTTCAAATCCTTTTTTTACATTCGGTCACCTTTTAATACACCAGGACAAAGTCTTCTATGCTTGAGATGTGGAAGGTTTTGTTTTTTATCTGTTAAACGTTATCATGTGTTGTCTACAATATAAAATCCCAAATAAAATGAGTTGAAATTTGTGGCTGTGGTGTGACAAAATATAAAACTATAAACAAAGATCTGGCTCACCACTTCCTTATCCACCAGGGTCTTGTCATTGTGTACACTGTACAGCTGGTGCTTCAGTACAATAGGAGGCAACGTGTCATTAAAGAGCTTTCTGGGAAATAGAGCCATGAGGTTCTCCAAGGTGGACTTCATGTCAGCTGGTTCTTCAAGAGGAAACACGGAGAGACGTTTGTACGCGTGGCATTCGTTTTGTCTCAATAACAGCACAAACTACTCACCACCACCTTCGTCACCAGCCCCAAACTTTTGTGTGTCATTTCTCCTTTTCTTCACTTTGAAAGCGTCGGAAACCAGAGCCCGTTTTCTATTCATGCCTGTAACAAAAACATAATATAAAAATGGTCCATTCATCAAGTTGACTGGATAGCATTTTCATTTAATGTCTAGGTGTCTTCTTACCCGAGGTACGATGTTCTTGTATGAACCAACGCGTCTCATAGATAAAACCTTTTTCGTTGTCTTGTTCTTTTCAAAGTTTATAGTTAGCCAAGCTAACAACCTTTGCGGCGCTAATTTAAGTCTGACGTTTTGGATAGACACCTAAAACAGTTACCTTTCAATTACTGTGTAGATTGAACGTCGTTTCCTGCAATTTATTACATTAAACAACCTGTTATTTCGTCATAAATGTTCTCATTTAACAACAAAATGTAAAGCTTCCTCTTTTCACTGTTATGTTGGTTCTATTGCGATAAAATGTCGGTGCTGCCACCTCGTGGATGAGTTTGGAATAGTAACACCGGAAGTTGCTTAAAGTTTATTTGTAGCATGTCAGGCTAGTTAGCAGCCCCGCAAATTTAAAAACACGTTAACTTTCTGTAATGGTTCGACTCTGAACAAATATTATACAGTTAAATACACCCATTTTTTTATTTTATTGGTGATAAATGAGCAGTTTGTGTTCTGTTCTTTGATCAGAAGGTAGGTTTTCATTTACTGGTCAAGTATTTTAGTTGCTCAGATGAGCTATAATGAAATTAAAAGAAAATATTAAAAAATATATGCATATCTGTGTCGCCAAATGCAAGTCAAAACCAAACCTCTCTTGAAATATAGGGGCAGACTGTGACATGTAGCCGATTCATTTTTGTTTGTTTAATTTTACGATGATGGATTGCAAATTTTATCTTAAGCTTTCTGAGTTACTCTCTTGTAAAAGACTTTAGTGTGTACTTTCGTTTTAATTGTGTATTTCCCACTCTGCATCGTTGTGTATGTATTTGGTGTTGGATCTTACTTTGTTGTTTGCATTTCTTGCATGTATTTTGTTTTTAGTTGTGTTTTAGATCAATCTTTCAATCCCTGGTCAGTGTGTCTCATAAGTCAAGGTCTTTTCTGCATTAGGAATGGACAGGCACAGATCCCGCAGCCCTCCTACCAGCTCCCACCACCACTATCCACCAAACAGACGGGGAGGAGATAACAGAAGACGAAACCACTGTGACGGTGCACAATTCGGACCCTCAAATCACCACCTGCATCAGTCCAGTGCCACTCCAAGGCAAACCCCACCAAGGTCCCAGACCTTAAGCACAAGAAGGGAAGTGTATGAGAGAGACTTTCCATTGTACAAGCAGCCTGTGGAAGTGGGCTGTTTCTCCCTAGACTCTCAGCGTAGGTTTTTTAATGACAGCAGGCAGATGAGATACTACGTGGAACCTGAGCGAAGTCCCAATTTTGATCTGAGGGATGGGTTCAGGGAACGATATGTGAAGAGGGATGAAAATGTCAAGGAGAAGCTGGATCACATTCTGCGATGGATAGTAGCCAACAAGTCAAAGCTGAAATCCAAGTTGACCACAAATGCCTCATGGTGAGTTTATGCATACAATATAGAGTAAACAGTTAATTTGAGAAGAAAATTGGTTAAATATAGGCGTTTCTTAGATGACAGAGGAATAATATAAGAAACATTAATAAACTGTGACCTACTTGACCCACCTCTGCTCCTCGCAGCCCTTTAGACTTTGACTTTGTGACCTGGCGGGGCCACCTGACCAAGCTGCTTACTACGCCGTACGAGACCAGAGAGGGCTGGTTGCTGGCGGTGACCAGGTTTAACGGCACACTCTACATCAGTGAGGTGGAGACTGAAGCTGCTCGCAGGGAACGAGAAAATCGCCCAGAGAGGAACAAGGAGATGATGTACTGGGGATACAAGTTTGAACAATACATGTGTGCAGGTGAGGGCTGCTTACTTTACTTTTATGTAAGTCGATTAGCGTTACCAGCCTCCTTACTACATAGATTCCCTTGTTGTTTTTAAATAGTTCTGGTTTTACATTCCATCTGTTATTTTCAGCAAAAGAAAATAATTGGGATTAGGTGACACTTCAGATGTCAATTAAATATTTAAAAATAAACAAGAAAGAAGCCCAAAGGAATCAGATGTGGAGTAAATAAAGCTGGTCCAAAGATGGATCCTTGAGGAACACCAAAATGTAAATCATCTTAGTGAGAGAGAATTTTCCCAATTTAACACATAAAGATCTCTTTAAATAAAGACACAAATCATTGAAAGAACTTCCTAATTTCACTTTAGAAGCAATTGTAAAATAATGTTTCACCAAATCAAAGGTTAGTTCTTAAAACTACTAAAATCAGAGTATTGTTTTGTTTGTTTTTTTGTCAGATCGTTTGTCTTAGTTAAAAATAAGAACAGTTCCAGTATATTAGAATCAAAAGTAGAAGGACGAGCTAATGCTTTAGATCAATTTATTTTTGGATAGATAAATTATAAAATAAACACAATGGAATTCTTGTGCTGGACCATAAATTCATGATAAACATTTGTGTTTTTGTTTTGTTTTAAAAGGAGTCTGAACATTCACAAGAAAAATGTGTAGAACTGTGTGACTAAACTCTGAAGTGACCGTTCTCCTGCTTTGTCCTCTCCTGCAGACGATACAAACAGTGAGCCTGACCCCAGAGGAGTGGTCAACACCAACGAGGCCTTCTGCACTGTGGTCCAGACCCGGCTCACAGATCACAAGCTTCTGTTCTCTGGCGAGGTGGATTGTCGGGACAGAGATCCAGGTGCTCCACCTCCTCCTGCCTGCTATGTGGAGCTGAAGACCTCTGCAGAGATCTGCACTCCCAAGCAGCGCAGCAACTTCCACAGGTCAGAGAGATGATTTGAATGACCTGATCAATATAGTCTTAATCTGCTTACAAAGACGCTTATGATGCCTTTTATTATTTTGGTGTCTGTGTCAGGTTTAAACTGTTGAAATGGTGGGCCCAGTCCTTTCTTCCTGGAGTCCCTCGAGTGGTTGCAGGTTTCAGGGATCATGACGGGACCGTCGTTTCTGTGGAGACTTTTCAGATCTCCAAGATTTCACAAGTCATCAAGGTACGAAAAGCTTTAAAAGCTTTTTCTTTTCTTGTGAGGCACAAATGACATTAGTCAACTCCAGCTGCAGATCTGAGCATTGAACAGTGTTGTTTTTCCAGAACGAATATAACTGCTGGAAGCCAACAGTGTGCATGAACTTCTGTTGTGACTTCCTGTCTTTTGTGAAGCGTGAAGCTACTGAGGACAATCCTAGGTGAGTTTAAATGAAAAGGTATGTTTGTTCAGGTATGTGGCAGAATAACAGAAATTGAAGCTGATATCCCGTCTGAATAGGTTTTAGTTTGGGTGAGGATTATTTGTTCAGTGTCCATTTGAAACATGCCTGACCGGACTGTTTTGGTCCAATCTGGCAAAAAACTGCCTGGATTTTTTTTCCCTTTGCAACATTTTATCATCCACATGAATAAATGTTAACTACCAACATGGCTAACATTGCTGTTCCTGGATGGTTAGGTCTGATCTTTGTAAAATATTTCTGTTTCAGTGTGGTGTACTTATTTTCCTGGGAGCCACACAACGATGTGACCTACTCAGTCCACCGGGACTCCCGATATTCCTTCCTGCCTGATTGGTATATTAATGAAATGACCAGGTCTCCAGAATAGCAACAGACATCCTCTTTCAGGTGACGAATGATGTATTTTCCAGATCGGGAAGTTTTTGAACTTGCAGATTGTTCACTCTGTCCCAAAGTTGCATCCTCTTAATTATCGTTAGTAATTGCTTGCGGGTTTTAGAACTAAAACCTGAGTGTAGAAAACGAAAGTTTTGTATTTATATTTCTGAAAATATATTAAAAAAAAAATTATTAATTCTGGAAAACTGAATTTTGAAGTTCTCGACACGAGAAGTCCAACAAATGTAAGAATCTGTCGCTTCATCATCTTCTGGGAAGATTTTTTAAAATAATAAACATTCTTCTTTGTTTAGTGCATGGTAATTCAAAATGAACAATCTGTAATATTTTCATGATTATTTTATTGTTTTCTTGTTTTAACAGTCATTTTGATTCAGAAGCCATCAAGTTAAGTAAAACAAGAAAATAAATCTTTAACAATTGAAGTGAAAAAAAAGTCAATATCAAATTTTATTTCTTTAACAGTACTTCATGTAAATCTACTTTATTTTATTTTTAATAAAATAAGACAGTAACTGACACATATAATTTAATGTAGTAATTATCAAAATGTGTTCTTTTGTCTTGTTTGGATTTATGTATTTCTATTAGACTTCAGCTCTGTACAAAGAAACATCATGAAACAAGTATTACAGTCAGAGAGCAAGAGCACATTGTGATACACACGGCTGCAGCACCAGGAAACCTTGAATAATGGAAGACAAAACACTTAGGATAGAAAACCATTTCGTTAGTAATCCCACACACTTCCAAAGCGCTGAGGCACTTGAGTAATATTAGCTCTGACCTCCACATCCGTACATATTCGCTTGAAGTACTTGCACTGTTAAAGAAAAAAAATGAAGTGATTTCTGTCAAAACTGCTGATCTGGAAACGTGCAGTCAAACATTAATTTAGTTGAAAACCGTTACAAATATCAAAGCTAATTCATGACATTGACATCCTCACTGCATCTACCACTTTTAGTGGTATTTTTCTATGCAGAAAATGTAAACTAGATAGTTTTACATCTTAAACCACAAGTTAAGAAAAGATCCAGTGCCTTAAAATAAGACCACAAATAATTATTACTCCCTTAAATTACAGCCTATCTCTTATAATACAGACATTAATTATAGGTCTTTAAATATATCAAAAACAGCAAGTCTGACACTTTTCAGATTAAACAGAATTGGTCCTGGCCTAGAACTAACTAGTAATAGTTTTGTTTTTTTCTTGAGGAAGGCTTGTAAACAGCATTTGATTTTCTTTTTTTTAAGTACATATCTAATAGTTGCTTTTATTTAGTCAATACTCACTTTTATTTACTATGACAATAATATAGCAGATGTTTAGGAAGACTCTACTATGGAAGCAGAATAAAAAAATAATCTGCATAGACGGTAGTTGTCATAAAGTTAAAGCAGAAATGAGATTGTGCGTCAGAAAGCCACCAGTGGTTTGGATAAGTATGTTATGAATGCCCAGAAGTCAGTGGAGTCCAACTCCAGTTAGGTAAGACAATAATAGCACACATCCAAGCGTTAATATAAATCTGTATCAGGCACTGATTAAATCTGTGCATTCAAGCAGAACCTCTCAGTGCTTCAGCTTTTTACTCAGGCCCATAAGTCTGAAGGTAGCGGCTGTGATCTTCTCATAAACCACAAACATCAGGGCAGCCGTCAGCACCGTCTGCAGCAGCTTGGCCTCCAAGCCTTTGTATAACCCAAGAAAGCCGTGCTTCCTGCAAGAACACAGAACTATCAGTGACCGACAGCCCGTCTGTCCATTTTCTGAGCCCATTTATCGCTGAACTCACTTGATCCGGTCCACGAACAGGAAGAAAATGTTGGAGACGCTCCCCATCAGGCCTCCTTTGCCGTCGCCTCTATACTGACCGAACTGACGAAGAGAAAAGCCAAGATTATTTTTCTGAAGCTAATGAATTACTGTTTCCAGTTAGCATTTGTGACTTTTGCAAAATCAGGATCGCGAGCTAATGTGTCAGAGAAGAAAAAGTATTTACCCTCAGAATGGCCTGGATGGTTTGGAGTGGGTACGTTGCTGTGGTAGCGATTGCCTTGGCGATTGCTCCAATGAGAAAGATCTTTGCTGAGGATATCTGTGCCAGGAAATAAAGATTTAATAGAGTTCTCAGTGACTGCTAGAATACAACAAAACTGAAATCACACAAATGATCCAGAAGTATCGAGGTTTATATTATATATCAAAAATATGTTCCGCATCCTCTCACCTTTTGGCCGCCCTTGCCCGCCTTCCTCTTCATGGCTTCATAAATCATGAACTGCACAGCCGGATTGAGGACGAGAATCAGAGAGGGCAGGGTGCCGTTCCACAGTGTTCCCACTCCCTCGTTGGCAATGATCTGCGAGAAAGCATCTACAAGAAGGAAAGCCAAAATGTTGGGCAACTCTGTGTCACATTAAAAGCACATCTGACGGGTTTTAATTAAAATACAGAGATTGGCACACACCGAATATGCCCCTGTAATGGGTTTGGTGGAGGTCTTCGTTTCTGAACCTCACTCCCTGCAGCTTCAGCCGGGTGTTGACGACCCACATGGGAGTAGTCAGGATCACGTTCACCACACCTGCATGAACACATGACAGTCAGATGGCACGCATCCCAAAATTATAGCAAGGCGGTGGCAGCGTCATGCTTTTCTCCACACAGCAGAAATGTAGCAGGAGGTGTTCAGGTTCAAACGTTAACACTTTGATCTGCATGCTATAAGTGGAAGCAAATAAACACTTATCAATCACCTAAACACACAATCTCCAAATGGACACTTGGTAGTGGCACATCATGCTATAGTGATTCCTTTTTGCTCAAACTTCATACTGGAAATGAAGAGCTTAACCAAACCACATCATAAATTAAAATGGTTCAAATTAATTTTGTGGAAAAACCTAATTAACAACCGTGAATATTTGGATTTAAAAAAAAAAGAATCTAGTCATGGATTAATTAGACTATGAATACTTTATAAAGGTAATGTAAACCAACAATAAGATGAGAGGGGAAAAAAAAGTTCTTAAATTACCTTTAATAGTACAGCATGCTTGATTGACTAAAGTGAAAAAGTGCATCACTTTATCATATTTACCTGCTACCATCCCCATCAGCAGGTCTTTACCAGGTCTGGGCTTGCCTGGTCCAGATGTAGCCACCTTTTTCAGTGCATTGAAAGTGTAGAAGTAGACAAAGTTGGAGCAGCAAAGGCTGGAGATAACTGGAAACCAGCCTCTGTACAGAGCCAAACTGAGAGAAGTGGTGGAGAACTTAAGACATACACCTCTACGCATGTTTACAGGAATCACAGAAAGTTAAGTGATATAAGATCCTACAGAGTTTAACTTACAATCCCTCTTCTTTTGCAATTTCAGCCAAAATGACAGGAGTGGACTGGGCTTTTCTTTTATCATCCACTGAGAAGAAAACGTGAAAATATTATGATTCAAGTCCAACGAACTACAAGAATGTTAAAAAGCAACAATTGCAGACATATCAGCTTACTACACCAGGCCATCTCTACTTGTAACAGATGCTCAGTAGCCCATGGGTATTAAGTCTGTACAATAAATATTTTTTTATTCCTTGTCTATTTTATTAATGATATCAATCAAACGGAAATCATACTGCATTAAATGACTACTTGGTTATTGCTGCTAAAGGTGGTTTTACCAAGCTATAAAATGATGGAGTGTACCTAATTATTGACACACAGCTTCTTCACTTTGGCGTTATTTTTATTTGAATAAATAATGACAACATGAACCACGTTTTAATAAGGGGACAGTTGGAATGGGAATATTTTTAAAACCTTGTAAGACGTAGATTCCATTTAAATCCTCATAGATACAAATCTAAACTGCATGATGGCATGATAACGACTCAAACTCACCCTGCAATCTGCTTTTAGCTGTATCCAGAGGGAAGAAGACTGTCATGGCTGTCACACTCCCCTGGAAGATAAGACATTGCAACATCACCACCTGCACAGGCATCCACTGCTGCTCCGTCTGTCACTCCAGGCTTTCATTTCACTCCTTATTCTTCCTCAAATGAAGAAGCTACTGAAGGGCAAATATTAGGAGCAGTTTCAAAACTCACCGTCGCACCTGCCACCGCATGGACCAGCGTCTCGTAAGACAGGAGGCCGACAACAGAGCCACCATTGTGGGACATCTTTGCAGGATGTTACCGGTGAGAGCTCAACAATTAAAGAACCGGGCGAAAAGTAGCCAGGAAGAGACCCGGAGAGGACAGACGGGCGTCGGCCTGGTTCTGGCGCGGTGGGAGCGGATACTTCTTACTGCTATAACTGCATGATGTTGTGGCGAAAGGTGACAATAGGGAAGAGAAAGGAGTGAAGACAGTGCTGAACTGTGGATCCAATTGACAGGCACGTCTTCTGTTTTGATCAGAACACCACCAAATAACGTGTTGCGCCACCTGCTGGTCAGGAGGGTTGTTACAACACCTGAGAAGCAGTTTTTCTTAAGACTGGTGGATTTTAAATCCCTACAATGAAACATGGTGGTGGCACCATGGGCGCCGTATAGGGGAGAAAGTTATGACAATTCTAAGGGCCCCTGACCAACAGGAGGCCCTCCATAATTTATTTATTTATTTATTGTTCATACAAATTAAGAAATAAAAAATACAAAATTAATCATATTGTGTTTTTGAAGATTGTTTTCAGCAGTAAAAGTTTTATGATCCCACTCCCAGACCAAATAACACACATCCATATTTTCCCTGAACCCCGCTGGATCTGCATTGTTTGTTTTAGATAAATTACAAATTGCAATTAGTTCAAGAACAGTGATTTTGCACTAATATTTTATTAAAATCCTATTAGAATTTTTGGATTTGTTAAACAGAAATCATTCTAATAATATTTTTTTTAAGATATGAATTAAATGTCACGATGGAGAGAAGTACAATAAAGTGTTCAAATGCTTAAGATCAAGTGCTGAAGATCTCATTGTGAGTTCAGGGTAAGCTGCGTCGATAAATGGAGCAGGAAGTGATGCAGCTGACAGCAGGGAGCTGGACTTTGCTTTTGTTTTATTGCTGGGCAGCTCACACACCCAGTGATCACTAGGCTTGTTCGGGTCCAAAAGCTTCTCATCGAGCACAAGTGAAGAGCAGAAAGAGGAGAAATACCAGGATTTTCAAACATTCTTAAAGATGTCTCGGTACCACAAGGCAGCAGTTGATGGCAACGTCGACCTGTTGAAGGAAGCCACAAGGAAGCACCTGAACACGGCTGATGACGATGGCATGACTCCCACCCTGCTGGCTGCTTTTCATGGACACGTCGATGCTCTTCAACTCATATGCAGCAGAGAGTAAGCATAATTGAACTTCTTTATTTCACACACCTTTGTCAGACAAAGTCCTTCTCATAAGTTTAGATGTTGAAATTCTCACAATTTAAACAGTTCAGTTTTCATTAAAGCTCGAAATGGCTTCTAAAGATCAAAGATCACCTAACAGAAAGCAGATTCTACTAAAATATTAACTTTCGATTAATTACTTTGGCAACTGTTATTCGCTACAGTTTCATGAAGAAAAGCCAAATTTTATACACTGGACTCCTCTCCCATCAGCTGACCTAAAAGTTTAGTCATCCAAATCCATCCTGTAAAACAATAAAGCTCTTTATCTTTGCATGCCCACCACCCCATCCCGCTGTCAGGACAACAAAAGATGAACAAAACCACTCAGAGTGAGAAACTTAACTGGAAATAAGCCGCTTATAATAGAGCATGTGGTCAAAAACATTTTCATAATTACAGCCAGAACTGAAATTTATGATTAAAAGAGCCAGTAAAATGTTTCAATCAAGTCTAGATAAACGTGACAAAAAGTAGAAAATAATTAAAATTTCTAATCGCTCATTGATTGTCTTCAACCTTACTCAGTTTTTAGAATACTGGTATTTTTACTAACATATTACTTAACATTTTTAGGTTTCTGTTTGTTGCTGTTTGTATTCTTGGCAAGAAAGGTGGGATCAGAAAGTGATAAGGCCTTAAAGAATGTAGAAGCAGATATATGAGCAGGTTACGTATTGTTTTATGGAAACAGACTCCAACCAGCACCACATTTATAGCTTCGCTCCAGTGGTTGTAATAAAACTTTATTGGCTGACAAGGTACACACTGAAGGTTGCCATCACTTTTGCAGAGAAACGCTTAAACTTGTCATATTCAGTCATATAAAACTGCAAGAAGAGTCTAAGAATTATTGATGTACTCTGAAACTTGTTCTCCACATCTTTTGTATCTGATCACCTCAAATAATAGATGTGAACAAACATTTGGAACCATAAATGGGCATGTTCTACTTGTCTTGGTATTTCTTAATATTTTATTTAAAAAGAAATAACAGCCAGTTTCCAATATTTTGAGTTCAAAAGGAGCCTTAAGTTTATATACTTTGATATTAAACTTTTTTAATATGGATGATTATCCAACTGCAATAAATTAAAGCTCAACAGTAATATCATTACCAGTGCCCTCAAGCATACATACTCCTTTGATGCTTCCACCTTTTTGTGACATATGAACCACAAGTTTTAATGTATATTTGAGGTCACCCTATGTGAAAGACCAAAACGAACCAAGGCAAAATAGTGAAAAGTTGTAAAGTGGAGGGATGAGAATAAATTGTTATATCTATATTTAGCATAGAAATCTGAAAAGTGTTTCCTAGATTTTTAGTCTTCCACCTTTACACTGACGCATCTAGATTACAATCCAGTGCAAATAAATGCTTCCAGAAGTAACATAATTACTGTAGTGTGAAAACAATGTGTATTTTAAAAACTAAAGTCGTAAATTGCTGCAAAATGTACCTTTAGTTTTACTCAAATTCTATTTTAGGTTTTCTGCTTGTGGAAAAATGAAATAAAATGAGTTGTTTTCCTTTCACATCACAATTATGCACTAATGTGTATTTGTCTATCATATACAAGACCGTTAAATGAAATACTCAAAAGTTTGATAGTTATAACCTGATTTAACAAGGCTCAAAGGGTTTGAATACTTTGTCTGGGTTATCACACTAACATCCTTTTACTGTGCAAATTATGTTCATTCCAGAGCATTTACTGCTCAAACAGCACATTCTAACTTTGGGTGTAACTCATGATGTAGGGTAGGCAATAAGGGTATCTGATTTATGGTGCATACCGTAAATCAGCATATTAGCAACATTAATTATCCTAAGTCACAGTTCGTTAGTATTTTTCTTGTTTTGCTTTATCAAGCAAACTGCTTTCAGATTTAGAAAATTTTCAGCAATTTAAACCACAAATTCAGTTTTGATTTTCCCCTCTCTTTGTGTTTCACAGAGGAGATCCCAACAAGAGTGACATCTGGGGAAATACACCGCTACACCACGCATCTGCTAACGGCCACATGCACATCATCAGTTTTTTGGTGAACTTTGGAGCCAATCTTTTTGCCCTGGACAATGATTTCCATACACCTATGGACGTTGCTGCATCTCGAGGCCACATGGACTGTGTGCGATTTCTGGATGACGCCGCCTCACAACAAACCAACCAAAACCCTAAAAAGGTCGCCAACATCAAGAAGGAAGCCCAGAAAGAGGCAGAGAGACGAGTGAAACTCTATGAGAAGGTGAAGAAAAAGCACCAAAACAAGATGGATAGAATGAGCCGCGGAGGAAGCGTGAACGGGTCGGTTTCTGAGGCGAGCATGGGATCGGGTTTCTCAGATGGTGGCACTATGAGGAGTGAACAATTCTCCAAGCTTATTGCTGCAGACAAATCAGGCTCTGTTACAGCGAGATTTAAAGGCACTCTCCAGAAGATGGGAAAGAAAGAGAAGGGTACCCTGCAGAGATCAGGAGGAGGTGGGAATGTTATCTTCCGTAGGCAGGAGAATGAATCTTCTGACAAACCAGAGTTTCTGGATGTCTTTGAAGAACAAGATGAGAGTGATCCGGTCAGCGGAGAGATGGAGGGATACGAAGATGATGACTCCAGAGACGAGCCAAGTGAAGTCAAACAATCCATCTTTAACCGACCTGGCTTTGGCGGCCTGATTTTCATGAAGAAGATGAACATGGAGACAGAAGATATTGTTCCCACAGGGAATAATGAAAGTCTTGGTTACCTTGTTGAGAACCAGATGTTTGAGGCAGATGAGGATGCAGCTGGCTTTGAGGAGGCTGGTGATGGTGACCTTCCTTGGGATCAAGAAGATCTAGGACTGGATGACGAAGAAGATGAGGAAACCTCTCCTTTGGAGGTCTTCTTGTCTACCATCTCCTTGCCAGAATTTGCCCCCGCTTTCAAAAGAGAGCACTTGGACTTGGAGGCGCTCATTCTTTGCTCTGATGATGACCTGAAAGGCATTCGCATCCAGTTGGGACCCAGGAAGAAGATCTTGGAAGCTGTTGCTCGCAGAACAAAGGCAATGGAAAACCCTGGCACCATGAAGGACAGCAGCTTGTGATCTACATATCCATCATATTCAAATTGTGTTGTTGCAGATTAAAATGAAACTGAACATTTTGTAGAGTTTGATTTTCTGTATTGTATTGAAGATGATTCTTTAAACTCTTCCCATAAACACTTTTTATTTTGAAAGCCATGAAGCATAGTGTACAGTCTACATTTATACATAACAACTAGTGTAAATCCTAGTTAAATTCTCTATAGACAAAAATGTATTTTGATTAGTCAATTTAAGCATATTATGGCTGATTTTTGCAGGACATCGCAAATACATAGAAGAGATGTACTAATTCAGAATTTCCAGGGATTTAACTTAAATGTTTGAGGTGCACTCAATCATAAATCATATGACTATTTTGATCATTTTATTAATAAACTACATATTCAAACAGTATGTTTCATTGTTATATTTAAACCTTGGCCACAGAAGGACTGAAGATTAAGCTTCACTGGTTAAATGTAACGGAGCCCAAACCAAACCGGTTGAAATCCAAGAGTATCATACGTTTTGAAGGTTTGATTTCAAAGTTGGTAATTGCATATATTTTTTGTGATATAAAAGGCATAAAATGTGTCTTTGATTCAAACTCTGGATAAAAAAAAAACTTAACACAAAGTAAGACCAGAGTGAATCAACAACTTTTTCAATACAAAAACATTTTTTCTAGGCCCTACAAAATAAAATCTAAATACCACTACAAAGCGTTCTTCAAACATTTAAACAGATATTGAATTAAAATACAAGTTAAAAACGGAGGAGAAGGCTGAATGCCAAAACTGAATAAAACATTAGTTCAAGAAATGATCAGTATGTGGATGTGCACACAGTGCATGCAGGTTATTTCACTGTTTTAGTTTTCTAAACACATTTTGTTCCTTGTTACAGATTTATTTGTTACTGTACAGCAGCCGAGCTTCCTGTCTCTTGATAATTGTCAAAGTAGTAAATAGCTTTGAAATTATTTATCTAAGCCATTATTGTATGTACAAAGATGTCTACGCCTTTGAGCCTCTGTACGTACAATAGATATAAAAAGTTGCATTTTATGTACTGCAATACCCCGGCTATTTTTGGTAGCTGTTACTAAGAGCCGCGGATCAGTGGATAGTGAGCCGGAGACTGCAGAACCCTACAATAAACGAATGAATCGAAAGTATCAATTCTTCCAAAAGGATACTTTGAACCGGGGAGCCGAGCTCAAAGAGTTAATGACATTTTGGGAACATTGGGTAATTTAGAGGGACAACGCCAAAACAGGAAGTACTTCAAGGTGAATCGTCTTGATTAGGCAAAGGCCTCTCGAAATATGATTGGTGTTTAGTTTCTGACGACTTCAGTGATTGGTCATCGCGGTCAGGGGCTGTAACCTCAGCTGATCCAATCACCGAGCAGCTTGGAGTTTATAGTGGCGATGGGCGAGGCTTCGGTTGAGAGGCGTAGCTGAAACTGATTTGTCTTGTATGTGGGAGAGTATTCCTTCTGTTCCTGTCACGACTATGTTTTTTAGGTGTTTTATGTGAGTATTTAAATTTCACAGTCTTTAATATCCTAGGTTTGTTCATGTTATGCGTGGTCTCCGACATTAGGAGAGGTTTCGGTCGACCTAAAGTCGCTTCTTTTCCCTGGTGAATCTGAGCTAAGCCTAATTAGTGGGATTGCCTTTGGGCTTCTGTACGTTCAACGTTCATGTGTATTTAGATTTAAATCCAGTTTATACTAACTTTTAAGGGTGATACTTGAAAAGTTGGCTTATAAATCATGATGTAAGATGTAGTTTAAGTCAAACATAACTGTATTTTACCTCAGGAGTGCCTAACACAGTCACAAATGGCTGAAGTAATACCCGTCGGCTCCCCCTTGCTCTTGCCATCCGTCATGAACGCCATCTTCCAGGCTCCGGAGGACTCGTGCACCGCCGCTGCCAGCCCTCCCGCGGACCCTCAGAGCGGGGAGGACTACTTGTTTCTGGAAACCACGCATCCCAACACAGTCCTACGGGGCCTGAACAGCATGCGGCTGAACAAAGCCTTCTGTGACGTGACTCTGTGCTGTGGAGGACAGGAGTTCCCTTGCCATCGCATTGTACTTGCATCCTTTAGCTCCTACTTCCAGGTAGACATCTCTAGGTAGACATCTCTTAGGTTCACAAATTGCACGTGACGTACTGTAAAAATATTGAATTTTCAGCTTTTCGTTCTTCCTCGCTGCAGGCAATGTTTTCAGCTGACTTGCTGGAGTCCAAGCAGGAACGTGTTGCCATTAATGGAGTTGAGCCCCAGATGGTTGGCAAGCTGGTGACCTATGCCTACACATCTCAGATCTTCATCACTAAAGCAAATGTACAAGTAAGCGATCCCTCTTTTCTTGTTGCCTTTTTCCAGCCAGAATCACTGCTGACGACCGATTTTTGCTCCTGTGTAGGCGCTTCTGGCAGCGGCCAATTTATTGGACGTGATGGCTGTGCGAGAGGCTTGCTGTCACTTCATGGAGCGTCAGATGGACGAGACAAACTGTGTGGGAATTCACTGCTTTGCTGAGGCCCATTCCTGTAAGGTGCTGGAGAAACGCAGTATGGAGTACATTCTGGAGAACTTCAGCACTGTTTATCAACAGGTGATGATATACAATTTTGTTAATTCCTTTCTTAGCTGGACTTGATTTAAAAAAGAAAACTGTGCTAATCACTGTGATCCTTTGTGTGTTCTTCTCTCTCCAGGAAGAGTTCTTGTCTCTCTGTGTGGACAAACTTACAGAAATTATCTCTAGCGACCTTCTCGATGTTCCTAAAGAGGAGATGGTGTTTGAGGCCGTCATGCTGTGGTTGAATAAATGTCCTTCTCGTAGGCAGGGATTTGAAAAGGTAATGCTTCTTTTGAGTTTTTATTGCGTTTTCCATAAAATTAAATTGTTGTGATTACACTAGTTTCATTTGGCAATATGAACAAATGCAGTGTTTTGAGCAGAATACATGTTATATAATTACCTTTAAGGTGTCATATGAAGGCTTATTTGGAGCTTCACAGAATTTTCCCCTTATCACAAATATGAAAGGATGCAAAACTGTCCAAGTTTATAGGTTGTATTCACATTTTTTTTCTTTTTTAATGTATAAAACTGATTTGTACTTCTGCCTTTTTGTATGAAGATTTGTAGTGATTTCAAGGTAAAATCAAACACTTGAGTAAAAACATCATGTATTGTCTAATAAAAGATGTTCCTCCTTTCATTTGTTTCTTAAAGGTGCTTGAGCACATCCGCCTGCCTCTCATCAGCCCTTACTACCTCCATGACCTAATCGAGTCTTTAGATGTTGTAAAAGAGAACCAGGCTTGTCAGAAGCTCATTTCTGAGGCCAAGGACTACCTGCTGCTGAAGGATCGCCGAGGAGAGCTCTACAGCTCCCGAGCAAGGCCACGTAGATCCACAGGTACAGGCAGTCACATCTGTAACTCAGGTTCTTAAAGGAATGGGATCTATGTGTGTAAAATCTAAATTACCAGAAGACATTCTAAAGTAAGGTGCCCAGTGTTTAGCTGCGTCTGTATTCTCCTACTTGCTACCCGAAAAGCACCCCGAGAGTCTGATGTCACCACCATCATGTTTCATCATTGGGGAGGTGTCTTCTGGGTGTAGTTTTAGCTTTGTGCATTTCTTTCTTTTTTTTTTTTCTCTTTAAAATGTTAAACATTATTCCCATCAGAGCAACTTCTTTGCTTTGTCAACCACTTGACTTGTGGTAGATGATGTGCTTCTGTACAGATGGAACTTCTACCTTTCTTTCAACAAAGGCTTTCTCCCTTTAAATCTCCCATCGAAGCCAGATGGTTATGCTGATGATGGATTTTCCAACCTGAGGTTATGGATGTCTGCTACTACTGCGGCATTACCCTACACCTACTATGTGCTCCTCTTTGGTCAGTTGATGTTGACCACCATGCTTTGGTTACAACTACTTTTTTCAAACTATTTTAGGTGGTTGAAAAAGTTTCTGTGATTGTTTGAAGCAGTAAACTGGCTCCCAAGGACAGAAGTTTGGGACCACCACAAAATGAAAGATGGAAGACATTTTATTTTCAGTTTCCTCGAGAAGAAAGTTGGAAGGAATTGGTGATCCAATAAAAAAAAAAAAAAAAAAAAAAAAATCTGACATTTGTGAAACTGGTTAGGAAAAGGCATGATTACCCATTTAGTTATACTGTAAGATTTCAAATGACATGCAAAGATGACTCTGGCTTTTACTCCAGATCTAATTGATGAACTTTAAATATGTTTATTAAAAATACTTCTGTCCAATTTTTATTGGCCATGAGCAGAGAAAGGGAAATTACTGTAAGCTATCACATTTTACGTTCAACCAAAAAATAAAACAAATAAAGTAAACCAAGCATATGTTGGGAATTTAATTTTTGAAATGAAAACTGTTTTGTGAATGTGTCATTTAATTAGTCATTCAAGGCCTTTGACTCAACAAGCATTATATTTTTAAACTATGGCATATCCTGAAGCCATATCCTCTTGTACTTGTTGCCGTGTTGACAGGAACTGTTGCTGTAATAGTAACTGTTGGCGGGGAAGACGACAAGGTGGTGCTGCGCAGTGTCGAGAGTTTTGATCCCACGACAAACATTTGGAAGAACCTAGCATGCCTTCCCTTCGCAGTCAGCAAACATGGGCTTGTCGTCTCAGGTGAGGTGCAGACTCACTTATCCATTACTAAATAAGATACTGCACCGAGTCCTCTCCAGAATTGTTTGTTTTCATGTTCCTCTTCCATTCTTTTGCAGACTCTACTCTGTATTTGGCGGGGGGAGAGTTTCCTGATGGCTCAGCAAGCAGAGAGATGTGGCGTTATGACCCCTGCTTTGACTCCTGGATGGAGATGGCTCCCATGAATGTAGCTCGCTCCGAGTTGGGTAGGAAAACCTCAGAATGATGCATTATGTTCCACCTTGTACTATCAACTTACCCTTAACAAGTTGGTGTAATGCAAATCAATTGATTTGATTTATTAAAGCACAATTTATTTCATCCAAAAAGTTTCAGATTTAGTAGACTTTACAGTGATTATCTCTAAGCGATTACACAAAAGCCTGTATGAAAAAAATTACTTAAAGTTAAATGTATTAAATCAAACACAAATAAACGGAAGTTGGTGAAATGACTAGAAGAGGATTGTGATCTCTAAAATTTATGCTGCTTCTTTTGCCTGAGTTATTCTGACCATGTTTGTGTGGTGCAGTTATAATAAAAGCATATCAATAGTGCAGAAACCTGTTTCAGGTCTGGTCATGCTGGATGGCTTTGTTTACGCCGTCGGGGGATGGGAGGGCCGAGGTCGTCTGGACTCGGTGGAGTGCTACAATCCCCACACAAACTCCTGGCAGTTCACACCGTCAGTAAAAATGGCCGTTACCAGTCCTGCAGTGGTGGCCCTGGATGGTCTGCTATATGTTACTGGTAGGAAACATGCATGTGCTTCTTAATGAATATTTAACTATAAAAATATGTGTATTAAAATTTTCTATTAATGCTGGTAGGTGGTGCAGTTCTTGAGGATGGAGACGGCACTGACCTTGCCCAAGTTTACAACCCAAAAACCGCAGTGTGGACGGAGGTCGCTCCAATGCAGATCGCACGCTCGGGTTCAGCTGCTTGTACGCTTAAAGGAAAGCTTTACGTTATTGGTAATTATTCCTATATCTTTGAAGAGTTTTTTTTTTTTTGTTGTTTGTTTTTTTGGATTGAAGATGTTTTTGATTAATTGATTACATTACAGGTGGATGGCATGCCTCTACAGAGAACACAGATAAAGTCGAGTGTTTCAACCCAAAGACCAACCAGTGGACTATGTGCGCTCCAATGAAGGAACGCCGCTACCGGCCAGGGGCGGCCGTAGTGGACGGAAAGATTTATGTCTTAGGAGGCGAAGAGGGTTGGGACAGGTGAACTGATTTTTTATTTTTTATTTTATTTTTTTTTCAGTTTTGTATTTTAATTACAGTTCTTAGGAACTACAGGTGAGTGCACATTTATTGTTTTGTTTAATGCTGTCAATTCTTTGTACAGATATCATGACACTATTGAGCGGTACTGTGAAGAAACTGATACTTGGGAGATTGTTGGGGAGATGCCTACCAGTCGCAGCTGGCTCAGCTGTGCGTCTCTCCAGCTGAGGAAGAATGTCCACATGTGCAGCCGTCCTGGTACACCAAGCGAAACAGGACAATGAAGGGAGACCCTGCTGTGGTTTTTAATCTTTTGCACACTTAATGTCAGTGTTCTATCATGCTTAAAAGGTGTTGAGGCTTCCCAACCAAGAAGTCTGACAAAATGGTGAATTTTCATGTGGGATCCAGACAAAAATGCCTTATGGAGTTACCCTGGGGCACTTGGGTTACTCCAGGATATTTTCATACAGGATCTCAAGTTACTGCGCCCCACGGTCTAGTCTGCAGTTGGAACTCGTGCTCTGTTTAATGTTGATGTATTTAAGGTACCCTTGTTATGTCTGGGCACCTCAAACTGAAGATGTTCCTGCCCAACACAGTGTATTTTTCTATTGTAATGTATTTTGAAGATAACCAGTCTAAAGATGGTAAACTTCTGTGGGATCTATTATATTGTGAATATTTTTAAAGCTTGCCTGTGGGAGAAAATGATAACCTGTGAGCAGTCTTTTGAAATTGAACTTTCTACTTTAAAATTATTGTCTTTTCAATCTGTGATGTGTAGAATATATTTTTGTAATGTTGTGAGTCCTTCATGTTGGTGAATTTCTGAAGAGTTCATTTACAGTGAATAAATAGTTTTATTATAAATGAGTGGGGTTTTATATTTGACTCTGAAGATTGCCTATTAAAGTTTGTGGACTTTGGTGAGCAAACTGAAAAAAGAAATGCTACAACATCAATTATCTTTTTTCAATATATAATATTACCTGGAAAAGAATTGAAATTGGTTGCACTGGATTTGATTCAAATGTGAGAATGAATGGGGTTGAATCCAAAAACTCAACTTGGCTTTCAGACTTAAATTTGTAGGAAAATATTGAAAATCACACAGCATGGTCCTTTTACAAAACAATTAACACTTTTTATCGCCATTTTCACTGAAGCTGTTAGTTATAATGAAATGGTATGTGTAAAAGATGAAGTGTGAGTTAACTTAGTTTCGTGGAGGGGGCAAAAACACTTGTACAAAGTTCCTCTTTCCCAAACAACTTAATAACTTAACCAAAAACATGTTACAGTATGAGATGGGCGGGATAAAAAATGTTATAAGCAAGTGATAAAACTACTTTCTAATTAGAAGTCTGCATTTAAAAAAAAAAAAACTTTATTAAAACAAATTAAAGTGTGCTTGTGACATTTGAATGTTCTCAGAAATTATTAAGGGATAGCCATAATTCATTTTTAGGGCACTTTTTCCTCAATTACCATATTAAAAATGCAAAAATATTTGTCTTGAAGAAATACCTTTTCCATTATTTCTTTAGTAAAATAAAAATAAAGTGTGCCTCTAGGAGTCGCTGTTCCTTCTGCACATCTTGACTTCTCTACAACAGGAATGTGAGATTAGAGCTGGTTTAAATAAAAGTAAATACAATAAAGCGCTTGTTAGTTCACCGTATCCAGAAACACAAATCAGCCAGGCTTTCAGTGTGCAGACTGAATGCAAAAATATATTTGACTGCAAAAAACAGCTTTTAACAATATTTTCAACAAAAAAAAAATTGCTTTTCTTCTTCAGTATTTCCTGTAATGTCACACATGGATCATGCAGCCACATATAACCATGTTACTTCTGGCTTGCAGAGAAATCATAAAAAATATTTTCATTGAAAAAAAAATAAATAAGAGACTGGCATTTTATTTTGAAAAACGGAGAGGGTCAGAGGGCGCAGTGCATTGTGGGTCAGTCCGCCGCCATATGTTTCTTTCTGCCGGCTGAAGGAGAGAGCTGGGAGTCATGAAAGGAGTCCGTTTGCTGAATAATTTCTCGGTCAGTTGTGTGTCTTTTACTCTATGAATAACATAATAATTCAGATTTATATGCATTTCGTTCTTTTCTCAACCTGTTTATGAGCTGACAGCATTTAACTGCCCTCTGTTAGCACGCTGGCTAATTAGCTCCCCTATTGTTTAGATAAACTAGGATATACTTGGTCTCTGTGAATAGATAATTTAAACACAAGTTAATTCACAAAGTACGAGTGGTTGTTCATGAAGTCCATAATAAATCCCGTAAAGAAAACGGATAGAGGGAGTTCAACTTGGTTTGTTTCTTTTGCTCAGCTGGATGCAACCTGAAGGTCATCTCTGAGCTGGTTTCCCTGTGACAGATTATCAGAGTGAAATATTCAGATTACAATATTTTGACGTCAACCAAGTGGTACCCGGGCAGTTATCTTAGGTTATGTTTACAGAAGAGATGTTATTCTCCAGAAAAGGCTGTGAGGTATTTTCAGGTCAAGAACATTATGCCTTCAATGTAAAAAACAGATCTGTGGATTTTTCTCTCTTTGACACGGACAGCTGAATTTATTGCTTTATGTAGAAAATATTTAGATTTAATTTATCTGTCAAATCAAATGTAAAATAATTTGCGTGCCTTAAACTGTCAACTTTAAACATCAATTTTATATTTGGCTTTAAGAAATAGGCCAAAACAAGCTAGTTAAAAATTATAATGTGGAGGGACAATTATGGTTTTACTTTTTTTTTAATGAATAAAAGTCTAAAAAAAAAAAGAGTGTGCATTTTATTCTGTCCGCTTGTGTCAAGCTTTTGCATTATCATCATTCACTGTAGTTTCAGTCCTTTGGGACATGTCTCGACCAGTCTACACACTGAATATTTGCTTACTCTTCTCTGTAAACCATCTCACCCTCAACCAGATTGAATGGAAGTGTTCAAGCTTAGCCACAGATTTTCAATTGGATTAATATTTTGGCTTTGCCTTTGGAAGCAGAGATTTAATGCTTGAAATATTACAGCTAACAAAAGGTTGCCTACTGGCACTCTTATAGTTTTAATATTGCTATGACTATAATTAACCATTAGAAAAGTCATAACATATTTTCATTAGCTACTTTTTGGATTTTCATTAGTTGTTAAAAATAAAGACTTTAATTTTACTAGTGGCACTAAATGTCTTAAAGTTATGGATTGTGAATTGAACACATATTTAGGGTTCTCTGTTCATATTCGTCACAGAAACGCTGCTACGCCTCTGCCAGGCAGGGCCAGGCTCTAACTGAACCTTTTTCGGATGTGAAACCTACCCAAGCTGCACCTTTTTCTCCTCAAGATGTGCAAGTATGTGCTGCTCTCTTAAAAGTTTGAGTATTTTTATGTGTTTTAATGAGAAGTTTAGATTGCCAATCAATGACATTGGAAATTAGCAATTGATTATAGGCTCCCAATAAAACAATTTTTTTTTGCTTCCTCAGGTGTCGAAACTCCCAAATGGGCTGGTGATAGCGTCGGTGGAGAACTACTCCCCTTTGTCAAGTGTCGGGGTGTTTATAAGAGCCGGGAGTCGCCATGAGAATTCAGAGAACCTGGGCGTCTCTCATGTGCTTCGACTTGCTGCTAACCTGGTAATATATAAAGGAGTTAGTGAGTGATACTCCAAACTTATCACTGTTTAGGTCTATTATTTAATCCAAAGCACATTATTTAGTCCAAATTAATCCATTATCTTATAGCGTAGGTCTAGGTGCAGTACCGCTTTTTATATTTTCACAGGTCATTGAAGTTTTATCAGCATTTCATTGAAGTGTCCTTTTTTTTGGGTAGACCACAAAGGGAGCATCTGCTTTCAAGATCTGTCGTGGTGTGGAGGCTCTGGGAGGAAGCCTGAGGTAAATATAGTCTCTCCACATGCAGTTTCTTCTCTTATTAAAACAAAGCATGACAATTTGACTCAACTGTGCTCTCATTTGTTTACACTCAGTGTGACGGGGTCGAGAGAAAATATTATCTACTCTGCAGACTGCCTGAGAGATGACGTGTAAGTTGCATACTTCTGTTTTTTTTTTTTTTACATATTACACGTAGTTTACTAAAATGTTCTCTAAACTTCAGTTATTGATTTGTGTTTGACCTGTATCGTAGAGGTTCGTTGCTGGACTTTCTGGGCAACGTGACTACAGCTCAGGAATTTCGGCCATGGGAGGTAGATGAGCTGACATCCAGGTTGAAGATCGACAAGGCTCTGGCTCAGCAGTGTCCACAGATAAGTGCGTATCAACCATTCTAACTCCTACAAGTTCTGCTGTATCCTGTTGGGATTTAGAAGTTTAGTTTTGTTTAATCAAACTTTGCAGTGTGCCTTGCAAAAATATTCATACCCCTTTTCACATTTTGACACAACCACATAATTGAGAAGTTGAAGGAAACTTATTGGCTTTGGAAACATTTCGGAAGTCTTTTGGGACATGTCTCTACCAGCTTTACCAATCAAGGGTTTTTCCCAATTCTTCCGAATAAGCTCCATCAGAATGGATGGTGTGGGTTGCAATTGCCAGGTTTTTTCACAGATGTAGGCATGATCTTTGACTAAGTCATTCTAACATGTCCTACTGGGAAACTGCCACAGTCTCAAATCTATGGCAGCCTCAAACAGCTTTTCAGTCAGGATTGCCTGGCATTTAGCTCCATTCAAATTGCCCATCAGCATGATGCTGCCACCACCATTTTTACCACCGTTTTTGGTGGTTTTAATGCAGTGACATCATGCACAGTTTGTAATGAAAGTTCAATCTCAAGCTAAGATACCTCCTTCCAGATGTTTGTTGTGTTGAGGTAACCATGTAGCAGGAATTACTATACCCAACTTTCTGCAAAGGCTTTCTCCCCCAGAGTTGCTTGACAAAGGATATCCTATCCTCTTTTGCTTAAAGTTGCTTCTCTGTTTTGTTTTGAAGGTGTAATTGAGAAGTTGCATGAAGCAGCATATAAGAATGCCTTGTCCAACTCTCTGTACTGCCCTGACTTCATGGTTGATCGTATCTCCTCTGAGCAGGTTTGGATGTGCTTTATTTTCTTTAAACTAAATTGTGATTTACGTCATTCTGTGTAAGCAAATGTGTAATACGAATGTCTGTGCCTGGTGAAACTGAAAAAGCAGTGCTTGGTAGTCAATGTGTGTCTCTAACACACTTTTCCTGCCCTTTCTCTTCCCCTGTAGCTCCACTCCTTTGTTAAGGATAATTTCACCACTGGCAGAATGGCCCTTGTAGGAGTAGGTAAGTGTTTTCTTGTCGGCGCTGCTTTACTCACCTCACTCTACTCTAACTTTTTAACAGGTTTTCAGCTTTGCTGATGTGTTTGACTTATTTGGTTGCTGTCTAAGAAGGCACAAAGATATTCTAGAGTCTAAACCTGGACGTCTGTCTTATTCATGTGTCCAGGTGTCAATCACTCTGTCCTGAAGCAGGTGGGTGAGGGTCTTCTGAGCACTCGCAGTGGAGCCGGAGCATCTGTTGCTAAAGCAGCTTACCGTGGAGGTAAAAGCTTGTGTAAAGCAGGAAAGAAAAAAAACATATTTATTGAAGTTTTCTTCAATGAACCTCTTAATTAGTCAACCATATTCACAGATATTCAGTTTCCTTTTTTGAGTGGAAGCATACAATTTTAACTATTAATTAATGAACTGACTGCATGAGTTATAATTTATTATGACTTTTTTCCAATCCATAGAGAACCAGATTTAAACATGTAGATGCATATATTTACAAATTATTTTAAATAAATTGATATTTATTAGCAGCTGTGCCATAGCGTCTAACGCAGATCTGAGATGAAAACTGGCCAATTTTAGCCTCCAGCTAAGCAGTTGGCACCGATATGCAACAAATTTTCTCTTCGAAGTTGGATTTACAGTTACATTCTGTGTGAAGGTGAACTGCGCGTGCAGAATAGAGATGACCTTGTCCACGCGCTGGTTGTTAGCGAGGGTGGTGTATTGGGCACAGACGAAGCCAATGCCTTCACCGTTCTGCAAAGGATCCTGGGAGCCAGTCCTCATGTGAAGCGGGGCTCCAGCATCACCAGTAAACTGAGCCAGGGGGTTGCCAAAGCCACCGCTCAGCCATTTGATGTAAGCTGAAGAATAGAGATACTGTGCTGGCATCCTGTGAAACTGAACAACGCTCCTTTGTTTTCTGAGAAGTGTGTGGTCAGCAGTTTTTTTTTTTTTCATGGAGTATGCTTTCTAATGATTATGTCCTCTGGTTGTCTTCAGGCCACTGCTTTCAATGCCTCATACTCTGACTCTGGACTGTTTGGTGTCTATACCATTGCACAAGCTAACTCTGCCAGAGAGGTAAATGGCTAATTTCATCTCGGATAATCACAGAAGGCCAGGACGTCATTTGAACATACCCGATCCTTGATTATTATTTTTTTCATTCAGGTAATCAGAGCTGCCATTGCTCAGGTGAGAAGTGTTGCAGAGGGAAACGTAACGGAGGCAGACATCATCAGGGCAAAGTGAGCTCACTCAGAAAATGGAGTAATCATTCAGATGCAGGCTTTGTAGTTGTTCTTAACCATGTCTTTGTCTGTTGGAGCATAGAAACCAGGTGAATGCAGAGTATTTGATGTCCATGGAGAACTCTGAGGGCCTGCTGGAGGAGATTGGGGTTCAGGTTCTGAACACTGCTGCCTACCAGGCTCCTGAATCCGTCCTCCATACTATCGATGCCATCACCACGGCTGACGTAGTTCAGGTGAGAATTCAGAGGGCAAGGTATCATCACCTGCTTCAGTGATTCTTATTCAATGTGTCCAACGGAAGGCTGTTTTCAAACCACTGAGAAACAACATTTCGACAAACATTTCATAACTGACGTTTTGTTTATTTGCAACGCCTCCGCTTCCTCGTTTGACCTCAGGTTTGTTGTCATGGTAACAGCACTGTAATGTGCTCCTCTTCTGAAAAGGCAGCTCATGTCCTTACCTTTTATCATCAGCTCTTAAATTCCTCTTCACAAGTACTAAATGCTTAATATTTTTTAAGATGGTTCCAAATTATCTTAAAATATATCAATTAAATCATAACCCTAATAGTTCTTTCTTATCTTTGTAGGCTGCCAGAAAATTTGTTGATGGCAAGAAGACCATGGCAGCAAGTGGACATCTTGTTAACACACCATTTGTAGATGAATTATGAAAAAGAAAATCATGTAAAGTCCATTTATGTCGCCAGTGTTGGTGCACTGGCATAAATAAGACAAAAAGCGAGAATCATGAAGCATTTTATCTGTTTATCAGTGTAAATTAAAGTACAGGCAATAAAACAGCTGTTTGTTGGATAAACTCTGCGTCTTGATCTGAAATCGATCATATTCTAATGTGATGGAGGTCTGATGGATAAGACAACCACTCTTAAAGTATTCCATGCCAGCTTCTCACATTACATCAGCACTTTATGCTGAATAAAAGCATTTTTGCTTTTATTCAGCATGAAAATGTACTGTTTTGATCCTCAGCCAGTTGAGGGACCCAAACGCAAGTACATGGGATCAGCTCAGGTGTGAAAATGAGGGATGGTTAATCTAAATTTGTGCACCATGTTTGGTTGTTCTTTCTTCAGGTTTTACACCGCTCATATGGTCTGTGACATTTATTAGTTCAGAGTGTCATTATTGTCAAAATGTACATAAAGAAAATAAAATCATGATAGATTAATTTAACTTTTGTGTTTTTACTTCTGTTTTTACATTTTTATGGTTGTTTGCTAAAAGTTTCTAGATTTAATTTATTCTACATCTAATTTTTTGTTCTGAAAATATATGAAACAAATGAAATACATAAAATGAAAAAAACATTTTCATTTTACACACTCACCCAAGGAGTGAGTGTGTTTTAAATTTCTATTCTGCTACCCCTAAATATATTCTCCTAGAACCTTACTGCTGTTATGTGAAGACCTCAGAGGTGTCTTGGAGAACATTGCTGGTTTAAATCATGGGTTAATTACACAACAATATGCAAAAAGTATTTTTCAATCCACCATCTGAAAAAAGAATTGCAAACCATCAAGATGTGGCTGATGGTCAGATAGTTGGCTGACTGGATAGAGCATTAATAGGAGTAATGGCCAGTAAGCCCTTGATAACTGAGGGAGTTGCAGACATCCACCCTTCAGGTGAAAGAAACCGTTAAAGTGAGATGTGTTAATTGTGCACTCAACAAATATGGCCTTCATGCACTCGAAATAGAAACCTGCAAGAATGCAATCCTGTTTTTATCTTGCTAAAGGTCAGGTGGGGGATATGATAAATGTGTTAGTGCTCTATTCACAATACTGAAATGAAATCTTTGAACATGTGGAGATGAAAATTAACACATGGCCTGAAAATCTATTCAACGAGACGTTTTTCTTCAGGAGGAGGAAGAACACACAAAACAGAAGAAGAAGAAAGAGAGTTGATGAGAAGATGAACTGAGCAAAAACAAACCACAAAACCCAAAAGAAGAGCACAGAGGCTGCAAAACACAGATTAAGACTGTGGTGGCTCATTTTCTGGCATGACAAATACAGCACATGCTCGGCTACAGTGGTTAGATCAAAGCATATTCATGTGTTAAAATTGCCTAGTCAAAGATCACACCTCAATCCTGTTTAGTCTGTGACCAATACATATATATATAATTTTCCAACATTACCCTTTTTTGCATGGAATGCACATCAGTGAGAAGCTTGTAACATCACAGATTCGTCCTGTTTAGTTTTTAAATGTTGCAGCTTAATTTGTCCTGTTTTAATTACGTTTTTAAGTCATATTTGGAATCATTATTATTTTTGCGTTTTTGTACATCACTTGCTTGTGCTTTCTTAAATAGCCCTGCAAACTACGTTGCTCTCTTTTATTACTCGTTTTTTGTTTGTTATTTTTAAATGTGAGTGCTTTGAGACACGCTATTGTGTTTTTGCACCATGGGGCTACTGTACATCATGAATAATTGCCTCAACCCTGACCACTCATGAAAACACAACCCCCCATTCTTCCAGAGTATCGCGAGAAGAGCCGCAGCCCCCTCTGAACGCTGTCTGTGTGTGTTTGAGGCTGTGTCGGGGGGGTCCGCCTGATGTCATTCGGCTGAAGGGGAGGCACAGCTAGTGGTGGGCACACGGGTGGAAAGCATAACAATAACGGCACCGATTCATCGCTCGTCTTGGGGCATTTAAACTCACGGTGTTTTTAAAGCGTCTGGCTGAGGTCCGGAGCAAGAGAAGAGGAGGGCAGCTGGCTGGCTAATGGGCTGAAAGTACCAGATGCTATTCCAGCAGAGAAGGAGAACGGACTCTCTTCAGCGAGACAGGGTGATGGGTTCTCGTTTTCCTGACGGGTAACCGTGAACCTACGCTCGAAACGCGGATATTTCGGAGAGTGGGAACTCGCTCCTCATCCCCTGGACTTCAGTAGGTGTGACATTGTGTGTGAAATGCCGTCGAGCAGCCTCTGGGCCGCAGCTCGGCTCACCGAGCCCGAATCTGGGAAATAGCTAGCTAGCTGTCTGCTAGCAGCAGCCGTACCCGATGCTGCTGCTGCTGCAGCGGCTGCTCCGAAGCGGATCCGAACCACAACACAACCAGTCCGGGGCCTCGGCGCAGAGCGAGCCTTTGTTTTACATTACTGGACTTCAGCGGGCTTTTGAGATGTGATGCTTTTGTGCGTCACGTCAGAGCCTTTTGTAGCTGGAGGCTCGCGCTTGCTTGACGCGAAGGGGCTAACATTGCTGCAAAATGCACAGCAGACCCTCAACAGCAGGCTCCTGTTGAAGGGGGCGAGGTTGGACAGATAACAGCCCACCCCGAGTCTCTCTGAACAGCCGGGGCGGGAGGGGGTCGGGTCACGTTTGGACAACCACTACCACATTTCCCCCTGCGCCGAAATTCACCGCTTCTTCTCCAAGCGACATGGATAAACTGACGATCATTTCAGGATGCCTGTTTCTGGCTGCAGATATCTTTGCAATAGCCAGCATTGCAAACCCAGACTGGATCAACACTGGTGAATCAACAGGTAAACCAACAGCCTTCCACGTTCTTTTGATTAACAATATTCTGTCCAAATTAATTTTAGTTGGAGAAAATTGTTGGAATGAATAGATATGAGATATGGACTGCAATAAATATAGCTTGACTAAATAAGCAAATTGGATTCACTGTATCAGTACAATATTTGGTGATGTTTGCTAGTTCATTGCCAAAGTTGCAGTTGTTGCAACTTAATTGAACCATGTAGTTGTGCTGGAAGTAGGATTTTTTTTCTTCATAATAACTAGATGGACTTCTCGCTAACCTAACCTGGATTCTATGGTTAATTTGAACCCTCAGCAGAAAGGCATTAAGTTAAGTATTTCTTTATTAAAAGGCCCAGTAGTTCTCAAGTGTGTATTGCACATTTGCAACAGTTGAGCCAGTATTATCAAGGTAAGCTGACAACCAGACCAGAGTGATGCTCTGTTAGTATCTTGACTAAACTAAAAATGCTCCACATGATCTGTCAGACGCTGACAAAAAATGAAAAATCAGAAGTCATCCAGTTGTACGTAAATGCATCAACTCTTAAAGTCTCAGTTTTTCGGTCTGTAAACCCATCAACAAACAGCATGCATTTTTATGCCCTTTAAGCTGAGTTTAATCAGCTAATGATCAAAGAAATATGCTCTAATAACGCATAAGTAGGCACAATTTTGTAATTCTTTTAAAGTTTATTGTTTCATTCAAAACTGCTACCTCTATTGGAGAATATGCAATTACTTTTTCCTCTTAACATCCAATAGTCCTCAGAACAGTCAGTGAATTCTGCTTATATAGACAAGTGTTGCTCAAAGTGCTTTGTCATGAATGCGACTTGATAAAATCATAGTGAGTTAAAGTCATAATACTGAAAAAACTGAAAAATACAAAACAATCAAATCAAACATTAATTATAATACAAATACAGTTTAAGTGATTTGCACTTGTCACCATGTTCACTCTAAGCTGTTTTTTTGAAGAACAACCAGTTGTAAAAACAATCAATATTCAAGGCCTTTCGTCTCTTGAGCTGTTTATCGATAAAACCCCTTTTTGAAAAGCCATTTTCATTCCTGTGATATCTAATGATATCTTGACATTTGAGAGTGACCTTTGAATGATCAGCTGAATCTGCGAACGTTTAATCAGTCAAATCAGACCTGCTGGTGCTGATGGCGAGTGTAAGCACGTGCGGCTTGCTTTAAATGCACCATTCCTGAAAACACATGCAGCCTATTGACGGACAGCTGCTACTCTTTGTTCTCTTCGCAGAATGACAGCTTAATATGTGGGTCAGGATTGTAACTAAGTGACATGAATAATCTGTGCAGAAGCAATAATGGGATTTAATGAAATGGGCACATTGTCTACAATGCGGCTCGTTTGATTCCGTTGTGCAATCGGCCTCTTATTGTCCACTTTTTCAAATCCCCAGAGTTGCACTGGCTTTATACAGAAAATTGAACCTTTGCTATTTTAAACGCCGGTGTTGTGGATTATGTGGGTGTTCTTATTGGAGTGGAAGTTGTCCAGCTAACAACTTCCAACTCGCTATCAGTCTTCTCACTTCCTCTCACAGAGGCTGCCTTTCTCTCATTTGTCCCATCTTCAATGGTCTTATCACATGTGTGGGTGATAAAGCACCGAGATTCATCTTCACATCTCATTTTGTTTCTTTGGTGGCTTCAATAATGTTCCTGCTTCTGTCTAAAATGTGCAATTTCCATGCAAACAGAATAAATGTTCTTCGTTCTCTGACAGTGCTTTCATTGTAATGTAAATGTGTTTTTATTTTAGATTAATTGCTTTGGGTACTGTGTTTCTACACAAAGCCTAAAAAAGAACTTAGTTGTATAACAGCTTACTTGTAGGAAAGCAAGATATTGCACATTTATATTGAAATGCATTCCTTACTAACTCAGCTCGTTTTGTGGGTACAAACAAGTTATGCTGAATAAAAAAAATCTATTGGCTTTCAGAACACTGAAAAGTAAAATATAATAACCATTGATGCATGGGTCATTATGGTATTTTCACTATATGAAAACCTTGGGTAAAGTACCACAGTGTTAATCATTTTAAAAAATGATATTTAGAATAATTGAACTGTGATGGACACTGGAGATAGGTATAGCTTGCCCTTAACCCTGCAAGGATAAGTTGGCTTAGGTGATGGATGGATGATGTAATAGTTTCAACAGTTTCTACATTTCTGCCACTGAAATTATATGGATTTTTACAGGTATAATTTTTGTCTTTTACATTTATTATTGAGAACTTGTTGACCTTCAGTTACATGACAATGAAGTCAAAAGTTTATATTTATGCATTTGGCAGACACCTTTATTAGAAGTGACTATCAATGAGTTAATATCAAAGCTACTAATAACCAACTTACAAGAAAGAACATTAGCAGGGTAAACATGGTGCAGGCATGGAGGGAAGTGAAGAAAGACACGTTGCAGCAGAGGTGTAACGAAATACAGTGTTGCGCTGAAAAGTTAGGTCTTTTGTCTAAAGAAAGTATCTCAAAATCTGTTTTGTTTCAATAGCTGTACAAATTTACTCATATGTTAAATTAGTGTACAGTTATTATTTCTATAATTTTTTATAATTATTAAATTAGAACGTTTTCAACATTTAGTTTATATTCAGATATTGTTGAATAATCTCTAAATAGCTCTCTTTTTTATCACAGGCTAATTTTTATGCAGTTTTCAGTTTAAACAAAAAGGTTGACGCCAATCAGCTGAGCTCAGCACCTCAGCTTTTGTTGTGTTATTGGAGGTTTTAGTCTGACATGCTTTTATCTGACTGACTTTGTTCTCACATCATTGAGAAAACAGTCGACTTTGATCAAATCTGTCTTTGCTTCAGGTTTTTCCCACTGTTATTAAATCTGTTTTTCTTTTTTATTTTACAATAAACAGCAAGTTAACCATTGATAAAACCTGATTCAGAAATGGCTCTAAAATTTTTTTTTTCATCTACTGTATATACTTTAATGCCACTTAAAAACTCTGTATTTTACAGAGTTTGCAGACAGAATTCAGATGCAAAGCAAAATCTTCACTAATGCTTCACATTTCTTTCGTTACCATCTAAAGCCAACCTCCTGCAGAGCTTCGAAGCAGAGTCATTGTCACAGCAGTGTCAGGCAATTTTCTGCTGCTCAGAGTGTAGGACTGCGTGGTGCACTTTTATGTCCTTGTGGTGGATTTAATGGTTCTGAACATAAATGATAAGTAATGTTATTACATTTGTACCACCAGGATTATTTGTAGCCATTAATCAAAGCCGACTCTTAAATAATTGTCTCCAGAACATTTTGAAAATTGTAAAGCCCTAGTTTTCACTTTTTGATGATTTTTTTTAAATGAATAAAATGTAAGGTATTATTCAACCTTACCATTTCATTCTTGCCACATTTAGATTGTTTATATTGCCTCCATTTGAAGTTTTCCTTCAGATAGAAAAACCCTGATTTTCTCCATGTGCTTCTTATTCATATGTGTAATAAAGTGAAAACATGTTTTGATACCTTTGTTATAGGAACAACCACTTTAGCTCTATCTTGCATGTGGTTAGACAGTCATGTCAGTAACCAGGGCTATAAAAACATTCACCTTTTTACATACTTTTTGTCACATAAATGGGAAAAAAAATTCACTTTTTTCTGTACCATTCACCCCTTGATAAATTATCTTTTGCAGACAGTTTTTGTGTTGACTTAAGTTATTTTTGACATTAAATTTTGCTTGCTTTGAGACATTTGTGTAAGAAATAAAAAAGAAGCAAAAACATACATCTGTAAGAGGGTGAAATAAACATTCACACAAACTGCAGCTTGTTCTAACTGGTCCACAGTTAGTGTGACGGTGATTTAGCCAAAAATAGATGAAATGGGACACAATTAAATTGTCTTATTTTAAGTATCACTTTTCAAAGCACAAGGGCACACAGTGTTATTACTACAGAGCAGCTGAAACCAGGCCAGCCATTATCGTCCAGTTACAGGCCTGCTGTGCCAGCAGTTCTCTCCTGCAGTTTACCCAAAATTGAGAGAGTTTGACAGGCAAGGACAGAGACCACAAACTGAGCTGCCACTGACTTGGAAATGTTTATTGGCCTCAGGTGAAGAAAGTACCATTTTGAAATGTGAAATATTTTTCATCTGTTGACTAAAAACCTGGATGCTGAGCAGCTCCGGCTGAAACCTTTAGCCTGCAGGTGATGGAAATGATCTATGAATTGATTTATTTCTTGTGTTGCAGGTGGAAAATCTAAACTATATTCTAATGTTTCTCAGGGCCTATTATTTTATTTCTCACCTGTCATCATAGGTTGTGCTTCATCCTAAAATAGAATAGATACCCTTTTAACATAAGATGAAAGAACTACTCATTGAAAGCAGGAATCAGATTTTTTTAATTTAATTAAGGTCGATGGAGGAACCTTTAACAATTAATCCGATGGTTTGTGTCATTATTCAATTGAAAGTAATTAGGGCATGACTAATGAAGATATCCATGAAGACATTCATTCATTCATTAATGTTATTTTAAACACTGTATTTATATCTTAATGTTGAATTTTCCCTCATTTCAGTGTAATTTAGAGAGAGACAGCACAACTTTTCAGCAAAAACGTGCTGCTTCATGCGCTGTTTGATAATCACAGCTGAAAATGCATCTTGTGACATTATGATAATGATCCTTAGTATTTGGCATGTATATTTATTCTTTTGTTTAAGGAGTTATTTTGACATCAGATCTGCCTAATTCAGTAATGCTTCATTCTATGCGAGAGACATTCTTAAAAATGTATTTGGGTTATTTTGTGATGACAAATTTATGCTGTGCCTCCATTAAGACACTTTTTATTTATTTAGGTGTTTTCGCAGTTAAAATATGTGGACATGACATGTTTTTCATTATAACATCTCTACAGCCTATAGGTTGATTTTCTGTGTTTTAGTAAAAAGGCAATCATGTGAAAATC